AACGGACTTATAAAGTCCCAGTTAACTAAGTTCTCCTTAGAGGTCTGCATCTCTTGGCCAAATCTCCTTCCTGTTGCCTAAACTCACCTCCGGGTTTCCCCCAGGAAGCCCATGGGTCTCAGCCCATTTAAAATTCTGTATGGCCATCCATTTGTTCTAAATCATTCTCTGCCTCAGAATAAAACTCCACTTTCAGCTTACTTACCCACTCTTTCTTTGCTCCGCAATTTACTCAGGTCCTATGCAGACCAACACCTTCTGACATGGAAGACACCTCTTCTGGGCACCCAACCCCTAACCTCTCCCCAGGAAATCAGGTCCTAGTAAAAACTCATCCTGCGCCTAGTCATGGACTCCAGACATGGTGAAAAAGCTCATACACCATAATACTCACCACCCCATTGGCAGTCAAACTGGTTTTGGCTTCCGTAAACACAGAAATGTGGTCACCCAGCCACTGATGGCAGTTCATAGTTACTGAAACCTGGGCTGATAATTCAGGAACCCATTCGCAGGTTATATATCTATAGTGCTTACGTACACACTGGCCTGGCAGATTAAACTTGGCTAATCCTGAAAGCTCCACGAAAACTTCAAGAGCAGGTTACAGGGCAGAGGTCCAAGGAAAAACCTTTCTCTTGGCTCACCGTTATCCAAGAAGGGGCAGCTCTTCTTAACAATTCCAACCTGGTTAATCTTTCCTCTTCTTTCCTTTGTGCTGCCCTCCCTAGGTCTCCTCTGGCAGTAGTACTTTTACCTCAACTGTTTAACCACACGGAAAAAACAGATGCCTTTCCACCAGTAATTGGAGTTCCCCTGTTCCACAATACACTGCTAAAAAATGGCCATTTTGCTATTCCAACCTGGGACTAGGTTGTAACAACACCATCAGTAACCTCACGTTTCCCCTCAATGCCCCCCAGGTGGATTCTTTTGGTGCAATGGCACACTGACAAAAAACCTTTCCACTCTTCCCCATCCCATCTATGTATGCCAGTCACCCTGGTTCCCCAGCTAACTATGTACACAGTCCCTGAGGTAAACACTCTGCAAAATCCCTCCCATGGCACCACAAAACACACATGGGCAGTGCCCCTCCCTGTGATGGTAAATTTAGTGGTAGCCTCTTTCTTGGTTGGCTCAGGAATGGAGGCAGGAGCCCTAGCCCACTCTCTGAGCTCTTCACAAAGCTGGTCCTCCAAACTGCAAGCCGCAATTAAAGACACTGCATTATTTTTATGCAGGATGGACACTGCATTATCTTTAAATCTCTTACAGCACCAAATAACATCCCTAGCCCAAGTAGCCTTACAAAACAGAAAAACCTCTTAACAGTTGATAAAGGGGAGATGCGTATATACCTGAATGAGGAGTGTTGCTATTATGTTAACAAACCCAGGTTGGTGGAAACCAGTATAAACAAACTTCGTAAGTTGGGAAAAACGCTATCTGGTCAGAACCCCAGCGTCTTACAAAAAGGTTGGTGGTCTAATCCATTATTGGTTGCTCCCTTAATAACCCCCCTTATAACCTTCTGTGCTCTGCTACTTCTGGTGCCCTGTTTGCGGAACTTTCTTTGCAACCAAATGCAACAAAATTTTTCGTGTTGCCGTTAATCAAATGTTATTGCACCCATACAGTCCTCTCCCACAGAAGACAGACATTCCCAACCTGTAAGCCCCTCCCACGCCATCCCAGTACCCGCAGGAAGTAGCCAGAAGAGTCGTTGCCCCTATCACCAAAGATTTGGGAATGTATGACTGGATCAATACCAGGCCGGCTTCTAGCAGCAAGTGACCTTGAATCTCCCACCAGTGAAAAGCTGACCAGAGCTAGCTGAAACAACTAGCAGCAAGTGGCCTTAAATCTCCTACACACACCTGCGGAGCTGACCAGAGCTGGCTATGTAAAGCAGCTTTGCAAGTTTTTTTCTTTCTTTTACTCACGGCACGTTTTGTTCATGGCCCATTTGGCTCAGTACCCACTTTGTTCTCAGCCTTCCACTCTGCACCCGGCACAAATACACTGGAAACCAGGAAAACACCTTACATTCCAGAAACCTGGATATGCTTGTATCTCCCAATCCCTGACTACTTTACCTTATATGGACTCAAGGCAGTCCAGTCACATGTCCCCCGGCTATATAAACACCACTCCTGTAGTCTGGAGTGTGACTCCCTCGGCCTGGACACTGGACTGTGGGACTTTGCTCAGGCTGGGATTTTCTCCCCAATAAAGCCTGTTTGCTCTAATTCGACTGATTTGGTCTCTGGAGCCTCTCAACTACCTTAAAATCCCCTTACAGCAGGATCTCAGGGAGGAGATGATCCATTCAGGGTGTGATGTAGCAATTATGAAATATACAACTTTCTTCTGGTTCCCAAATGCTTCCTCCTCCCCCACTATCATGATCCCAATTCTACCTTACAAATCTGACTAGACCAGAGGATGTGCACTGGTACAGATAGCTACTGGAAACATAGGGAATCCAGGGTGGATGATCCCTTCAGGACCAGTGGTGTGAGTAGAGATACTGGGAGGGTAGTGGGAGGATGGGTTGGAAAGGGGGAACCGCTTACAAGGATTTACATGTGACCTCCTCCCTGGGGGATGGACAACAGAAAAGTTGGTGAAGGGAGATGTTGGACAGAGCAAGATATGACAAAATAATGATTTATAAATTATCAAAGGTTCATGAGGGAGCGGGGAGCGGGGAGGGAGGGGAAAAATGAGGAGCTGATGCCAGATGCTTAGGTGAAGAGCAAATGTTTTTGATGAGGGAAATGAACGTACAAATGTGCTTTACAACAACTGATCCATGTATGGATTGTGATAAGTTGTATGAGCCACTAATAAAATAATTTTTTTAAAAAAGAAAGAAAATGATAGCAACATATATATATAAAGATATATCAGTGTGTGTTTTTTTTCAACGGAATTGGGTAAATGTTCATACAACTAAAGCAAAAATGTATTAGAATGTTTGCTACACTATAGGACTTCTTCATTTAGCTGTGATTTCTTTAATGAAATGTGAAAAATGATATTGAACAATGGTAAAATATAAAATAGTAGACAAAATATATTTGCATCAAAGATAGAGTTGAAAATGAAAAATTAATCTAATATTTTTAAAATGTTGGAAGTGTTTTGCTAAATAATTGTCTTCCTTTGAGACTTTATAACAAATTAAGAAATAGACTAGGCAGTGATCAGCATTTCATATCATACCATGTTAGTGATGCAGTAGAGAATTATGCATTTTCCTACACTGTGGTGAGATGATTAGATTTAGCATATTAAGGGCAAGTTAGTAACATTTATTAAATTTTAAAACAATACATGAAAGGCTCTCTAAAGATATGGGTGCTGTAGCAAAGTGTGGTGAAGAAATCAGAAGGTGCCCAACTATCAAAAAGGAAAGTATTTGGGGTCTCAAAATTTGGCATTAACATAAGAAGCCATCTAAGTGAAGTGGTCAGCTAAGCCCACATAGAAGGACCCCAGCTTGTGCAATTCAATTGTAAATAATACAATCCAAGAAGAGGAGGGAATTGTAGAAAGCTTACATTTTGAGTGTTAGGTTTGCTGAAGGGGGTTGATGACAGTGAAAGTTCAAAATCCATTTGCAGAGTTCCTATGGGAATTAAGTCACCATTGAATTCCCTGGGTCTATGGACCAGAGATGTAATCAACAACAAATGCACTTGGTCCATGGACCAGAGATGTGATCACTATATAATCCCCTTGGTCCATGGTCCAGAGATGTGAATAGCCTTCTCAGGCAGAGTGCCTCAGAAATGGAATTAATGCAGATATTGTTAGATTAAACTTTAACATCTTATTTGCTTTCCATTCTGGCTCATTTTAAATTTGTTTCATTTTTTGTTTTCTTTTGTATTGAGGAATTTCTATATTTTATTTTGTTATTTTGGGGTATGTATTACTTTATTCATATGAAATCTAGAATAATGGATACATCTATAGGGATGGTAACTAGATTAATATTTTCTTAGGGTCATGGCAGAGAAAGTTGGGGGCTGGCACTAATAACAATATATACAAAAATGAAGAAAATGTCCTAGAGTTGATTGTGGTTTTGACTGTAAAACTCTTTCTATTACATTCAAACCGCTGCATTGTATGGTATATGATTTATGTGTCACTAAAGCAGTTTCATGTCAAAAAGCTTAAAAATGTTACTATTTGATTTAAAACTCCACATATATAAATTTATCCATAAGTATACGCTACCATATATAAAATGGCATTTATGTTCACACAAGGATGTTCTTTGCAGTTTTAATGTAAACATAAAATGTTCACCCATATAATGTACAGATGTGTGGTTTTCTGGATCAGGAGAGATGTCCATGCAGATATGGAAATACCACCAAGAAATATTGTTAAGTGAAACAAGCATAGCAGACTACATTTCACGTTTAAAAATACAGATTTACAGGTACAGATGCATCTATAATGGTAAAATGTATAAGCATGCATCATATACCTACATATTTGTATTAAAAAGGAGAAAATAATTATGTGTATGTTTCTATTAAAAACTCCCTGGGATAAGTGGAAACCACTGATCTAGGAAGTGTAACAAGGGTCTGAAGCTGAAAAGAAAATCAGTTTGTATTGTGTACAACACTGTTGCCTTTCAACCTTACCATGTGCCTGCATTATCCTCAAATATTTTAAAAGTAGAATAATGAGCCTTTCCCCTAGTGTAACTGCCATAACTTCTTTATTTTTCACACTACTATTTTTTTCTTCTTAGATAAGAAAATATGCCAAATAAATAGCTTAGGGATGGATTTTTAAGATGAGGAATATTATTATTCAAAAAAATGAAAGGTTATGTGTATTGTTGAATATGATTATTTATATATTGCGATTTTAATGAATATTTTCACAAAAAGGCCATTGGAATTTTCAAATACTTTTATTATTCTTTTCCTTACACTCTTAGGTGAATTAAGAAAAGGAAAAAAAAAAGGCATATGCTTTAGTCAAAAAAAAAAAAGCAGAATAGAAAAAAAATATGAAAAAACATCTGTAGCTTCAAAAAATACCTAAGGTGTTTAAATTTGTATCTCTGATAAATTTAGTTTCAAATTACTAGGATAGGAATCCCTAGAACATGCAAGTTACGTATGACTTCTGTATCATGCCTACACAATTTCTATGATTTAGTTTTGACCTTTTTGTGCATCTGTAGGTACATTCCTAACCCACCTGGTACTTTCTTAATTTACTAAATCATCAACATATCTTAAACTTCTTAGTTGTATATTATGTAATCATAGCATCTTTCAGAAGTACCATGATGAGTTTTGTTGTTAAAGGCACAGCAAGACTTTTTTGTTATCCCCGACATGATCATTCTTACATTATTTGAAATTACACAAGGCTTCCAATTGGCAAACGAGGTAGACACATATATGCTTGTGGAGTTTTGCTGAGATTGATGGGATTCCCATCCAATCGAATGTCTTCTAGTGCCTTACGAATGTAAGTCAAATTTTTAATATCGCAGAAGGTATCTTCATGCATCTCCAGAATGTTGTTGTTCTAAAATGGATGAAAATAAAGTGTCAGGTACAGCATGTTATATACATAAGGCGAAGTACACAATCCATTTTGCTGAATATACATTTTATTATTTTGCTCCTTCGCATTAAACTAAAAAAAGTTTAAGAAAACACAGTAAGTGGTTATTATTTTTCACACTCTGGGCAATGAGAGGACCCCTGTTGGTGTAGTGACTTGATTTTTTGGCTGCTCACTTCAAGATCCGCAGTTCGAAACCACTAGCCTCTCCTTGAGAGATAAAGAGGAGGCTTTCTACTCCTGTGAAGAGTGACAGTTCTCAGACACCCATGAGGCAGTTCTATCCTGTCCTGTAGGGTTGCTATAAGTCAGAATCCATTTGATGGCAGGGACAGGTGCAATAGGAATCTGACAGTTAACAAAACTGCTATGCTTTGAATATTAAGGACCCTTTATTTCATTTGGAGCAATATAAGGTAGAAGTTAAAAAAAAAGTTAAATTGAAAGAAAGATTATTTCCTAAAACAATGAGTGACTAACGAAAACAAACAAACAAAAACCACTTTATGTTCAGAGATAGCAGTTGAACTGAGGACTGCATAAAAAGACACAGATGTGGAAAACAGACAAATAAATAACATTCTAGACAGAGAACAGCAAGTTCAAAGTTTGGAGGAAATAGCAGGAATTGCAGGGGGTCATGAGGGGAAGGAGTGAGAAGGCAAACATCAAGGCAATTAAATAATTTCTGTCTTCTGTGTTTTTAAACTAAAATATCCACTTTATCTTATTTCCTTCCCTTTTCCTGGTTTCTTGTGGTGGAAGGTTAGGTTCCAGATTTGAGAGTTTTGTTTTGTTTGTAATATACACATTTATAGTTGTTCCTTTTCCTCAAAGTACCTCTTTACCTGCCTTCCATGCCTTTTTTATTTATTCCCTTGCAAAATCGTCCTTTAGTCATGAACAGGGAGAAAACCAAAACTTTCAACTCCTGTTAAAAGGTTCCAGTCTGATGGGGTCACTCTGAATCAGAATCCAACTCAAAAGCAGTGAGTTTGGTGTTTTTGGAATCACAAACAAGGCCAGAAATTTGCATAGGCATAGAAGAGGCATCAGAGACAGAAAGACTGGGAGAGTCATGCAGAAACCAGATAGGAGCTAAAAAATAAAGACATTAATAAATATAAACATGCTCAGAAAAAGAACTCACAAAAGAGACAGCTATATAAGATTCATAGATATACAGAAAAAATCATTAAAGGATTAGAAAAGGAAATAACTGGATGAAAAATAACATAGAAATACACATTTGTATGCTTCACAGAGATACACACAGGAATCTAAGGCCTACTATGATACTGTGAAATCCTACTATGTAATGGTTTATACTCATTTTATGCTAAACAAATTTTAATGTTCTGCTACAATATTATTTACTTTAGTATATAATAGATTATTTACCTATGATCTATTATTTATTGATGCTACAGATGAAATTATTGAAAACATTTATAACAGCTATAGGTATATTATATCTGAAATAAAAAATTCTTTATATTTATTCAACATAACTTTGATGAAAACTGAAACATATTTAGAATACTTTAGATTATCAAGATTTTGAAAATTTATTTTAACTCATAACTTCAAAATCAAAATATAATTTCATGAGAATTAAAATAATCCACGCCCTCTAATATGATAGTTTAGGGGGAAAAAATAAATTGTCTCAATCCAAAGGGATGGGTGTTTGTTATTTATTAGCAGATGGGAATGACCTAAAATTGAATTTAACTCACTACTTCAGACTTAAAATTAATATCTGAACATATTTTCTCTGAAAGTTAAAAATAATAACTGACTTTTTTCTTCCTTTTTATTTCATTTCTACTCCTCAAAGCTTTATGCAGCAAGTAGGGGCCGTGTTGTTGTTGTTTGTTTTTAAAATAATTGCATTATTGTTTGACAAAAAATTAAAATAAAGGTTAGGGTTGTCAGAAATTGATAAGAATGAGTACAGTTATAAGGGCAATGACATCTTAGACTCAGAGATATCTTGGCAATGATTAAGCGAATGAACAGAGAACAGAATTGGGCAAACATTTCGCAGTGTGTCAAACATGCGAAGCAGTTCTTAGTGTCCCGGCACGGCTTGGCCTCCCCTGAAGCATGTCTTGCTGGGAAAACTCTTACCTGGAGATGAAGGGCCCGGAGGTTTTCTGGGAGTGGCAGAGGGATATGGTCCAAGTTGTTATCAGTCAGGTAGAGATGATGGAGGTCATACATTTCCTATAAGCATTCCAAACATAGAGATTTATTAGAAATGACTAATAATCCAAGGAGCCCTGGAGATGCAGTGGGTTGGGCATTCAACTGCCGACCTCAAGGTCAGTGGTTAGACGCCATTAGTTGTTCCTCAAGGAAAAGATGAGGCTGTCTGCTCCTATAAAGATTTAAAGTCGTCTTGGAAACCCAAAAGGGCTGTTCTACTCTGTCCTTTAGGGTCACTGTGAGTTGGAATTCCTTGTCAGCAATGGGCTTGGTGGGCTTTTCTTTTTTTGCTATTAGTTACCCAGATGCACTTTATATTCCCTAAAAATACAACTATTTGAAAATAATATGTACCCAGCCAGGTCTTATTTCATAAAATTGAGGCAAATTAATGGTCTTAATTACTAGAAAATCCAAATGCCTGATAGCTAGGGAAAATAATCTTTCTCCATCCCTTATAACCGTCTCAATGTAGGCAAGATCATTACCTCTCATGGAAGATTTGTAGGGGATGATCTTGAAGATTTTCGTGAAATATTACAATAATTTTATTTAAAAGAAGTTTTATTGACATATAGCTCACATATCAGACTATTTTAACATTCCGTTATATTAAGGATTGTGCAATCATCACCACAATCAATGCCAGAACTATTCTTCTCATACTTTTGTTGTCAGCTCCCCCTTCCCCCATTCGTCCCTGCCATGCCCTTAGGTAATTATTAACCCAGTTACTGTCTTTAGAATTACCTACCCTGGATTTCATATACAGAAATCAAACAAAGATGCAAACAAACAAATAAAACCCAGCAATAGGACCAGGCATTACAAGGAAAACATCAATAAAAAAGAAAGCAGAAAATATTAAAAACTGAAACAACTTGCTCTCTTGCTTTTAAAAAAAATAATTAAATCATTTTATTGGGGGCTTGTACAACTCTTATCACAATCCACACATACATCCATTGTGTCAAGTACTTTTGTGCATTTGTTTCCCTCCTCATTCTCAACACATTTAGTTCCTACTTGAGTTCTTGCTATCAGCTCATTTTTACCCCTCCCTCCCCACTCCCCCCTCCCCCATGAACCCTTGATAATTTATAAATTATTATTATTTTGTCATATCTTATACTGTCTGACGTCTCCCTTCACCCATTTCTCCATTGTCCATCCCCTAGGGAGGAGGTTATATGTAGATCCTTGTAATCTGTTTCCCCTTTCTCCCTCACCTTCCATCCACCCTCTCGGTATTGCCACTCTTACCACTTGTCCTGAAGGGATCATCCATCCTGGATTCCCTGTGTTTCCAGTTCCTATCTGTACCAGTGTACATCCGCTGGTCCAGCCAGGTTTGTAAGGTAGAATTGGGAGGAAGCATTCAAGAACTAGAGGAAAATTGTATATTTCATCATTGCTGTACTGCACTTTGACTGGCTCGTCTCCTCCCTGTGACCCTTCTGCAAAGGGATGTTCAATTGTCCACAGATGGGCCCTGGGTCTCCACTCTGCACTCCCCCTCATTTACAATGCTGTGATTTTTTTGGTCTTTGATGTCAGATACCTGATCCCTTCGGCACCTGGTGATCTCACAGGTTGGTGTGCTTCTTCCATGTGGGCCTGTTCTTTCTCAGTTAGATGGCCACTTGTTTATCTTTCAGCCTTTATGACTCCAGAGTATATCTTTTGATAGCTGGGCACCATCAACTTTCTTCACCACATTTGTTCATCAACCCGATTTATCTTCAGCAATCATGTCGGGACAGGCTGGTGTGCTTCTTCCATGTGGTTTTGTTATTTCTCAGCTGGATGGCCACTTGTTTATCTTCAGGCCTTTAATACCCCAGGCGCTATATTTTTTAATAGCCTTTGATAGCCGGGCACCCTCAGTTTTCTTCACCACATTTGCTTATGCACCCACTTTGTCTTCAGTGATCATGCTAGGAAGGTGAGCATCTCAGATTGCCAGATTGTTAGAACAACATGTTCTTGTGTTGAGGGAGTACTTGAGTAGGGGTCCGCTGTCCATCTATTTCCTTAATACTAAACATATATATATTACATAGATATATTTCCCCCTTGTCATATATAAATATATTTACATCTGTATATGCCTGTATTTAGATTTCTATTACTGCCCTTTGCCTCCTAGTTCTTTCCTCTATTTCTTTGTACTTTCCCTTTGTCCCATTATCATGATCAGCCTTCATTTAGGTTTCAGGAATTCCTCTGGGTTAAATTGTCCTTAATCCAGCCCTGCCAGACCTCCTACACTATCCCAGCAACTGATTTTGGATTACTTGTTGTTCCCTTGTCCCTGGATTTATTCACACTCACTTCCTTTCCCCCGCCTCCCCCTGTCCCATGTCCCTCCCAGAACTGTCGGTCCGGTTGTTCTCTCTTCCGGCTTGTTTATCCCACCTATCCCTTCCAGGTAGACATGCAGCAACAACAATACCATCACAAGACTGAGTACAATAAAGCAACAATAGGAAGTAAAACAATAGCGACAACAACGAAAAGGCAATAACAACAGCAACAATGGAAAAAGCCCTATAAATAGTTTAAGGTCTATTTGTTGTCCTTCCAAGTGCTTTCTAGTTGGGTCTGATGGGTGCCATGCCCTGGCCCCATACCTATTCTTGGCATTCCCTGGGGACGTCACTGGTCTGTTCCGCGCGCTTCAGCTGCACACCCCTAGTGGCTGGCTTTGGCATAGTGGGCTCAGGGTGGGCAAAAATCCAGCCGTGTTTCTCTAGTGTTGGCCCCAATGGTGCGATGGGTCAGTGAGGAATGCTGATTCCCATGGTGGGGCCGGCTCTGTGCATTGCTGCTTTAAGCAGAAACATTGTCCTCAGGGCTTTGTGGGCCAGATTGGGCTTCACTTTTTTTGGGGGGGAGGGGGTGTTTTTGTTTACAGCTTTCAGTTTAAAATTAAATTGATTTCAGTGCAAAATTAAAATTAAAAGGGGTATCAAATGATAAGGTACTACATTTTAGCCTAACTATATCAGCCAAAATCGACCTTAATGTTCTCTCTCTCACAGCAAGGCTATTCATATCCCTGGATTCTGTTCAGAGGTGATTCACCGGGTGCCTCGTCCACATGGGCAGGAAAAATGAAAACTGTCGTAACTACCACAGATGAAGCAGGGACAGACATTTTAGAGGGAATTTACAGGCAAGCTTGTCAAAACTAGGGTTAAAGGGAGGTACTGCAACTGTCTTTTCACAAGAATCCCTGATGCAAAAGAGTTTAAAGTTCTAAGGTAAAATGAGGATGTATAAACTATTGGCCTGAGCATAGATCAGACAAACAGAGTGAAAACATCCCTGCTTCTGATGGTCATCACAGTCCATCCCAATGAGCGAATGGACAACTACGGAAGCATTAGAGCAATTCAGTAGGTCCTGGGAGGGAAGCAATGAAACTCTATTTTTTCCTTAAAAGCAAAAACAAAAGTGAAAACTACCAACACAACAAAGTACTGACATGAACAAGTGATTTAAAGGTCTGGCTCTGGAACAAACCACTGGAGTTTGAACCCTGACTTTGTCATTGACTGAGGTGCGGCGTATTAATCAATCCCTCTGTGAGCCAGGTTTTTCATGTGCAAAATCTTAATGATCATAATGCCAACCATAAGGGGTGAGTGTAAGGGTCAGAGTTCTTAAATGAGCACTGCTTCCCTTAATGCTTGGCCCTCAGAGTCTGTTCTCTATCTGTTTGCCGCTATAGAGCCAGATATTCCTAGGCCTGACTCATGCCTGTAAGAATAAAGCAAAATGCCCTCCTTCCAAAGGGCCTCCAGGAGTTTGATAGCATTTTCAGAGATGCCTCATTCCGTGGTGCTGTACTTCTTAGATACAGCTTTTTAAATTCTGTTTTAATTGAAAATATGTGGCAAACTTACATAGAACAAGCCTAAGGATAGTGTTTTCCCAATAGCATGTGTTCACTTCCTGTCTCTGTGTCATCTTTCGGTAATTCTCACACTATTGCAAACTCCCTCCCACGGCTACCGCACAATGAAGAGATTGCATAGCACTGTACCTCGGAGAGGTGGCATGCTCTGGTCCAGACCGTTGCAATAAAGTAATAATTGCAGTGCCGTGAGTCACACATTTTTTGGTTTCCAACCACATGTAAAGCTTATGTTTATACCACACTGCTCTCTATTAAGTATGTAGGCAGTAGCGTTATGAACCCATTAGCAATATAGTAAGAATTACCAACATGTGACACGGAGTCAAAAAGTGAGCCTCTTCTATTGGACAAACAACTCCATAGGCTTAATACACCTAGTGTTGGCCAAAATCCTCAGTCTGTAGAAACTCCATGTCTGTGAGCTACAATAAAGCGAACAACAAAAATGAACTATGCTTGTTTAGTGTAAGTCTAACTTAAAAGCACCGGGGAATCAAAACATGTCTGACTCCCTCTGCTGCTATATCTCGAGCCAAACCCACAATCCCTCCAGGGCGTGCCTGTCAAGTCCCACCCATTGCAATGAGTGTTAACTTTGATGGGGGTGGTGGATGCAATCTGTGGGGGCATCCTAGGCATTTCAACCCTTGCTGAGCAGGAAAAGATACAAGCTCAAACCTTTTCAGCACTGGATGGCTGTCATTGCGATTTCTGATTTTTCTTTTCCATTCCCCCCCGAAACCAGATTAAGACACGTAGCCTCTAGGGCAGTGGTGCTCAACCTTCCTAATGCCACGCCCTTTAATACAGTTCCTCACGTTGTGGTGACCCCCAACCATTAAACCATTTTCGTTGCTACTTCCTAACTATAATTTTGCTACTGTTATGAATTGGGAAATTCCTGTAAAAGGGTCATTTCACCCCCAAAGGGGTCGCGACCCACGGTTGAGAACCACTGCTCCATGGAATATTGTACAGTCCCTTCAAATAGAATTTTTCCCTTACTCTATCAAATTTTTAAAAGAGGAACTTGAATAGAGGAAAAGTGGGTCATGAAGGCTACAAGTGACGATTGTCAGGCGTGTCCTGAAACTTCCTTCCTTCAAATCACAAAACAAAATTCTTCAAAGAAGCAATCTCTTTTCCTTACAAAGTAGCTTAGAAGCCTCAAAACACTTTAAATCACGTAAAGTAGATTTCTTAAGCAGACTTCTTGATAAAAATGAATTATCTAGCTTACACCATTTCCAAGGGCTTTTTCTTGGTGGTGGTATCATGGGTGAAATATTGAGGGGCTGCATGCACAGTCAACAGTTCAAACCCACCAGTCACTCCTTAGGAGCAAAAGGAGGCAGTCTGCTATGATCAGAGATGCCCAGCCTTGGAAACTTAGGGCTCACTTCTCCTCTGCCCGATAGGGTCACATGGAGTCTCAAGTGAAAATGGCAGTCCCCCTGGAAGCCCCCCACTTCTTACTGCACTCCTGCTGTCTCTTTGGGGGCCTGACTCACCTCAGAAGGCACTAGAGTGTACTCTGTCTTTGAAAGGATAATAACTATGATCACATGATTTATTTTAGGAGTTAAAAAGCTTACCCACCTAAGTAACCAATGGAAAACAACAACAAAACACTCCTTCACAGTGAATGGAATAAGATGAAATCTTACGTTCATATTTGACGCTTAAAACTTACTTTAAATGCTTCTTGCTTTATTCCTTTTCTCCCAAGTCTGTTGTTGCTCACATCAATAAATGTCAACGTGGTTGGCAATTCTGGGAGCTGCCTTATTTTATTGTCACGCAGAACAAGCTCTCGAAGTTGAGGCAGCTTTCTGAATGCATCGTCATCAATCTCGGATATTAAATTTGATGTCAGATCAATCCTTTTTAAATCATCTAGGGGTTAAAAAAATGAAAGAAATCATTAAATATTCTTGATTGTCTTTTGCTCACATGAAAATAAATATCAATATGAATTTGCTCATACAAAATCAGATATAAATATTAATGGACAGTTAATGAAATAATTATTTTAAATGTTAAAAATTCATTGTTTCCTCCAGACAGCTTCACATTTATGCACTTATAAGAAATGTCATGCTAGCAAAGAAATTCAAACACCGTTTAAAAAATATCTGGTATCTGCCACACATTCTTCAAATACTTAGCCTGAATTTATTATTTAAGATGTTCTGCTTAGTGATGATAGTGTTATGTTTTATAATAGTTAATGGTATAAGCATTATCAAATATCTTCAAATGAATAAAATACATTATGAGGAGTAATATCCAAATTCACCATATAAGTTGGCAAAAAGCACAATGTAAGATAACACTACTAATCATAAACAGGAGCAATTTAATGGAAGTTTGTTCAAGAAAACCAGATTCAAATATGAGGGCGGTCTGGCTGTGAGATCTGCCATCCCATTCACACCAACGTAGATTTGGCTGATCTGAGTGGCTAGGGGATGCTCCCTTCCTCCCTCATCTCTCCATGGACTTCCCTCCCACAGAGGGCGACCTTCCCGGCAGAAGGAGGACATTCTTTGGTCAAGGGTACAGGAGTAGCAGTGCTCCCATACTAGCACCTCCAAACGAGCTCTCAAGAAAGCCAAATCCCACTGAGTGACTGCTATGTAGTACTATGCTCATGTGTAAGACCATGATGTGATAGTAAGACTCAGCCACATAAAATATAATTACTTGTAATGATTTCAACTTAGGTAATTGAAAATAGTTCAATTGAAAATGATAATAACAATATACTTAGTTTCACAATAAAGTAGGTGTAATGATATTTTGATTTTTAAGTTTCACTCCAGAACTGACATTGCATAGTATAAAAAATATAATACAGTGTGTAACAAAAAAAAGGATTATTAATATTTTCATCCATACTTAGGCTTGCAAAGTCATTTTTGTTGATCTTTTTAATTCTGTTAAAGCGGGAATAGAAATAAGCAGTGTTCCTGGGCAGTGGAGGGATCGCATCAAGTTCACGGTCATCACAGTAGACTGTTGTACTTATGCAAGTACACAGAAGGCAGGTGGGAAAGTCTAAAAGATAGAGATAAATGGTTATAAGTATGTAACAAAACAAATGAGAAGACAGAAGGTGGATAAGTATGTTTGATACATAAGAATAAAAAAAACCCAACACCTGGTATATTTTTCATATTATTTCTAAATGAAATATTTAAATCAAGTATATCCATCAAAGCTCTCCTCAGAGTTATTGTATTCTTTGTACTGCTTGAGAACATATTTAAAATGACTATGTAGCTCTAGGAAGTCTGGTGGAACTGTTGGCTAAGTGCTGGGTTGCTAACTACAAGGTCAATGGTTCAAGTTCACGGGAGAAAGCAGAGGCCATCTGCTCTGGGAAGACAGAGAGCCTCAGAAACTTTGTATAAGGTTGCTAAGAGTCAGAATTGACTTGTTGGCAGTGGGATGCAGCTACAGTATTGCTAATTTTGTATTGACTAGAAGATCTCTTTAAAAGATATAGATATAAAGTTGTGGATTGTTTAAAATTAAAGTAACAAATGTGACATTATAATCAGGTCTTGGATTCAGTATTCGAACATGCCACTTAAAATCTGATTCAAGAAAAACTTAGTGTGTGACAAATTTTAATAATATTAATCCACTCAATATATTAACTGTTTCTAGGCACCAGGCTACAAAGTGAACGTGTGGTGAGTATGAAGATTTACAGCTCTATTTCATAACCTGCCATGTGAGACAGCTGCTAACTAAATTAACACACACACTCATAAAATAGAAGTTTTGACTGTGTTCAGTGTGATTAGAATTAAATGAGCACAAAATAGGAATTTGACCCTGTCTGTGAGTCATGAACTGGTTCTCTGAAGAGCTGGGATCCACAGGAAGGTAAGGGGTTAATGATGCAAATGAAGGGACTGGTATGCCAGCCTCTTGAAGGGAGAAATATAAAATATTTAATACTCATTAATTTCTCCCAGCATTGTAAATGAACATTTCTCACTTATCATAACAATTTAAAATGCAAAGCATTTGATAATTTTTCTATATATTCATAGCCTTGCTCATTTAGCAATAATTGCTCTTGGTAATTCACACCAGTTATAATTTAATTCTAATTTGTCACATGATACAGGCCTTCAAAATATGAGTTTAAAGAACTGTGTTATTATTAGAAGTACATTTTTATTTTTAACATATTAAACATTGTCTGTCTATCTAATTTTGATGAGCTGGAGACTTAAATTACATTTCTAAAAATTTCTGTAGATGGAAAAAAAAATTTCTGTAGATGGTTCTTGTAAGGAAATTTAAGTGAGGATGGGTGTCTTAATTTTATTATTCACCATCAGGCTAATTTAGAGACACAAAAATGTTTTCATAAATGTCTTAGGTTTTTAATATTGCCTCCAAAGCAACATGACTGCATTATGATTTAGACTAATGCTTTACAAAATGTGTCTCATTGAAAGGACCGGGCCCTGTGCTTCCCTCGCGCTGTGGGCTCCCGAGAAAGGGCATTGATGCCAAATCAGCCAGTTCCTCTTCGTGGAGCTGACAGTTCTTAAAAATAAACCATGTTCTCAGATTGCTGCATGGCCCCACTTTGGAGGTGGTTTGCTGCGTCATGACTTCCTCATCTTTTTGCTGATCATCCTCCTGTTCTGCTGGTCGTTTTCTAGAATTTTAGTGCACTGCAACCCTGAGGCAAGATTATGAGGCACTCATTAAAGAAAGAGACTGCCAGAGGGCAAGAGGCCTCGGTTTCTACCCCAGCACCCTACCACCTCTGTGATCTTGGGTACCTTTTATAGGATGCTAGGGCCAGTCTTTCTCTCTACACACGGAGACAAGTGGAGTTAGTATGTAGTGTTGTTTGGATTATTAAACACTGGCCAGCCTGCACACTCACTGCCATTGAGTCTATGCCGGCTCATAGCGAACCTAGGGGACAGGGTAAAACTGCCCTGTGGGTCCCTGAGAGGGTGACTCTTACAGCAGGAGAAAGCCCTGTTGTCTCCGTCAAAGTTGTGGGGCTCAGTGGAAATGAGTGAACGCACCGCACGTTAGAGACGGATGGCAATCACCTGGCTATCGTTGGAAAGTATGGAGAGGTGACTATTAGATTAGAAGGATACATCTGATTTAGCGGTCCAAGTCTTGTCACCTGATCTCCCTTCTGATACACTTTGTGCCTGAGGTGGTTTTCAATATTTCCTGTGTGAGGGGCAATTTTTGCCTTTGCATATTGGGGTTTGTCTCTGTCATATTGTGTCATTGTTGGTGGCCTTCCTTCCTGTCACGTGCTTTTCTATGGTTTTCAGTATACGGAACCCAGGACAGGGGACCCTACAGAGCCAACACACAGAATAAGGGTCCTGGGGGCTCCCGGGGGGTGGGGGTGGGTCGAAGACTAAGAGCGAGCTGATATCAAGGACTTCCAGAAGGAAGACAATATTGTGAAGCCTATGGTGGTTGCGATTGTACACCACTGCTTGCAGTGTTTGAACATGATGTCTGGATTAGTTCCTAATAAAATGGTTTGGAAAAACCGAACAAAGCAAAGCAGAGTAGAAGAAGGATAATATCGAACGGTGACTTTCTATTCATTCATTTAATCCTCACAACAACTGCATGATGTAAGTTCTATTATCTTTCTTTTAGAAAGTGAGGCGTTAAGAATGTTCAAGCGTCTTGCTGGAGGCTGTGTAGGCAGCAGGTGGAGGAGCTGGG